CACGCAGCCGTGACCCAGTCGGTGCCTGGCCGGTGCCCCGGGAGAAGGTGGAAAAAGCCCAGTGCTCGGCCTCAGGGCAGGGTTGAGGGGGAGGAGAGTCCTTTAACCCTGGCTAGCCAGGAACCTCCGACTTTCTGCCCTTATGGCCACACAAGAAGCCCTTGACCCTCCCAGTCTGGTTCACACATTCTGCTCCAAGCCCTACAGGGGGGGACTTAGGATGGCACAGGCATGCAGAACCCCCAACTATCCCCCAACCTCCTCCCCCTTTGCCATGGTCACTACCTCAAAGCCCACATGAGCACGCCTTGCTGTGGGCTGGGACAGCGGCAAACTTGTTCAAACTTAAAGCTGTGTGCACAACCTTCTTGCTTTTGGCCCTCCTTTCCTCTCTTCCTGAAGCAGACAGGGAGATGGTTTTCTGCCTCAAGCTCTGGGAGAGGGAAGTTTCTAAAAGTCAGGGCCTTTCCTGTCCCCTTCAGGGACGGACATTGGGCCTGGCTATCTTCCAGGCTGTAGGACACTGGACACATTCCTGGATCAAAGGTGCTAGTGATTGCAGTGGCCAGGCTTGGCAGAGCCCTGGGCACTTCTCAGCCTTGCTGACAGTGGTTATGCTGGGCTCGGAACCCCAGTTCAGGGCTTGAGCCCCTGGCCTAACCATCTTCTCCCCACTCAGACTTTCTAACTGATTTGCCCCCAGCTCTTGCCTTGAGTTAGGTTTCTTTCTGCCACTGTCTTATCTCTGGCAGGGCTGCCTAGGTCTCTTGTCTCTCTGTCTCTGTCTCTCTTGTTTGTTTCAATGCGCGGACACTGATTGCGCCTTATGAAGTTCTAACTGGTTTTGTGTCAGGAAGATCTTTCTCGCTGCTACCCAGCCTGGCGTGACGGATTAAACATCAACTAGTTAAATAAAAATTAATATCAACTGCCTCCTAACTTCTAATGTCATGTTGTTTATAACTAATGAACTGATTAGGGGATAAACATATCACGGAGACATTCAGCTTTCCTGCCTAGCTCCGCTGCTGCCTGGTGCCCATTCCTGGATCTGGCCAGACCTCTGCCAGGCCAGGAGAAGGGGGAAGACTTCAGGCTGCAGATACTGGCTTGCTTCTCAACTTATCTAGATCTTTTTCTCTCCCTTTCCTTACCTGTCCTTTCTCTTTCCCTTCTTGTATATACTTCCTTTTCTCAATGTCTTCTTTTTTCCATTTTCTGCTTTATTTCTACTGTCTTTCCTCCCTCCTCCTCCTCTTTCTCCTCTTCTTCTTCCTCCTCCTCTTTCTTCTCCTTCTCCTCCCTCTTCCCCTCCTCTAGCCCTTCCATCCTTCTCTCCCTCCTTCCTTTCTTCCTTCTTTCCCTATTCTCTGCTCTTTGCTTCTCTGCCTCTGTCCATGGCTCTATCCATGGCTCATCTCCTCCTTTTCTTTGCCAGTCTGAGCCTTGAAGCCCTTCCTCTCTGGGTCTCTCTTGTCCTTCATTCTAAGTGCCCTTCTCTTCTCTCTTCTCTCTTCTTCCTCCTTATTTAGAGTCACTTTCCCCAAAACAGCATAGAATATAATGATTACCAGTGTCGTTGAAACTGTACTTCTTCCCTGCTACCAAGCAGAATGTGCCTCTCAACACCCTGTAACACACACACACACACACACACACACACACACACACACACACACACACACACCAGCTACTTAAGGAACATGAAATAGAGCTAGAATAAGTAAGGCTTTATTTTCTATTTCTCCCCATTCAATCTGTAAGAAGAAAAAGGAAATAAAATGTTTAAAACTTTTGCTTCCCACTTGTCCCAGAAGCAATTAATACAAGTTCAAGTGCTAATTTTAATTCCAGGAAAAGAAAAAAAAACAGCTCTAGTATTTTTCCTTCAAGAGCTTAAAAACCCTCACCAGCCAGCCCCAGCATGGCCTAAGCAACCTCTTCCTACAGGGCCCTTTTCCTAAAGATACTTAAACCAAATCACAATTGTCATCATGACAACCATAAGGCAGGAAGGCCGGTAATCACAGACCCAGTCCTGGTGATTTTTTTCCCCCTAAGAAGCCACAACATTTAAACTTGGTTTGCCCTGGACCGCAGGGTCTGACAAGACAATAACAACAGAAAAGGGCTTTTAAAACCAATTTAGCACACGTGAAAATGTAATTCTAATGAAGAATCAATAGGCTGGCGGATCATTTTTCCTGGGACTCCTTGGAGAACCTGAAAGAGACTTTCAATCAATGGGGGCTGGCAATGAGCAAAAGGGCCCAAGAGACAGTGTGGAACAGGAGACAAAGAGAGGCAGAGCCTGAGGGAGGAGGCTGAAGAGAGGCTCAGGGCTGGACTCTTGGCTGGCATTATTTTGCAGGCATCCTGAGGAAGAATATTAGAGTGAAAAACTAAGAAGTATCCTTCCTCCTCATGGTCCCTCTAGTATAAGATGGGCTACTTGGCACCATGGTACCCATGCCTCCTTCAGGGCCTAGGCCCTGGCCTCGCCTCTGTCTCAAACCTGAGCCCTGTGTTCAGTAGCTGAGACAAACTGGCTTAGGAGCAGGAAGGGAACCTGGAGCTGAATGTGTGTGTCCTCAGTTTAAAATAACCTGATTCCCCATTTTGTGCCCCTTTCCATGTGTGTCTGGGACATTGTGTCTCAGTTCCTGCCTTTGATAATACAGGAACAAGCACACCTGATGGAAGTATGGTCACACCTCACATTTTATAAATCATTTGCATACCCATTATCACTTGAGAAATCTGGGAGAAGGGAATGATTATTATCACCATTTTACCAAACAGGAAACAGGCACAAAAAGCTGTACAACAAAAGGTGACTCAGCAGGTCACAACCCCTGTGTAGGTCTGGATGTGATTCTGAAGTTACATCAAGAGGCTAATTATACATCACCATCTCACCACATAGTAGTTGTATATGTGTGACTAGATTTAAATTTATTTGTTGTTCTTATTTTCTTAACAAAAGAAAAAATATTTTTTGCTTTTAGCATTTGATGCCCTGGAGTTGGAAAATCACTGTTACATGAAAAAGAAAAAAAAAACACCAATAAGGTCTGCTTTGTTGAATAAAAAATAAAAATGTTTGGCTAGGTACTGGTGACCCATGCCTGTAATCCTAGCTACTGAGGAGGCTGAGATCTGAAGATCATGTTCAAAGTCAGCCCAGGGAAGGAAAGTCCATGAGACTCTTAGCTCCAATTAACTACAAAAAGCAAACAAACAAAAAAAAGCACCCAGAAAGTGGAGCTGTGGCTCAAGTGGTAGAACACTAGCTTTGAACATAAAAGCTTAGAGCCCAGGCTCTAAATTCAACTCCAGGATCAGCACAATAAGAATAAAAATATTATGGAGTTGTAGTCTTTTTGTACAACTACCTAACATTAAAGTTTTTTTTTATTAAAGTTTTTAAAGATGAAGAACGCTAGTGTGCTGGAGGCATGGCTCAAGTGTTAGAACACCCATCTAGCAAGCAGTTAGCCCTGGGTTCAAACTCTAGTACTACTAAAAAAATAGTTTATTAAATGGGATGGGGGGGGGGCTTTTCTAGCAATGTGGAAGGCCTTAGGTTCAGTTTTCAGTGTTGTTAAAAAAAATAAAGTTAGTCAGATACTAACTTGGCTAGGATTTCTCTGAAAGCACAGAAAGTCATATTCCTATAGGAAAAATTTAAGAACGTTGACTCAGTTTTGCTGTGGGTCCTTGTGCCCCTCCAACTTCCTATCCCTAGTCCCAGAATCTTTCTAGATTAGGAAGTCAGTAGATGGGGGTTTTTATGAGCTGATTTTCAGTTCACAAAAGGAGTCTTCTGGACCTGGGTCCTACCCATCCCTTGCCTCAGAGCCTTTCTTTCTAAGTAGTATGTGCCTGTGTGTGTGTGTGTGTGTGTGTGAGAGAGAGAGAGAGAGAGAGAGAGAGAGAGAGAGAGAAATGAAGGCTGTCACAAGCCTCCACTGTCACAGAGCTTACCCAACACTTTCTTGTGTGCACTCCTCAGGGTTAGTGTGTGAGCAAGGTTCTAAAAAGAGGGAGTCTCTGCATAAGTGAGTAGCAGAATAAGTGGTGTAAATGAAGAAAGAGACCATGACCATGAGGACTTTAGGTATGGGAACATCGTGGTTCATGGAAGGGGGTGGGGGTGGGGATAAAGCTCAAGTCAAACAAGTGCTTATGAGAAAAGTGGGTTGTGAGTCTAAAGGAGAATTTATGACCAAGGTGTAAGAGATGTAAATTCCAGATTGAGTAGGCACAATATGGAACAAAGCTAAAACGGGGCTTTGATCAGGGGATGAAAGCCAAGACCCAAGAGACTTGGGGTGAGGGGACCATAATGTAGTAAAAAGCCCAGTATTCAAGCAGGCCAAGTGAATGTGGGAGGGATTGGGCCTTGGTCCCTTTGCCCTTGGCCTTCACCACATCTCCAATGACCGTGGAAGCTGGGATCTTTTCCTTTTATTCTATAGTTGTTTCATTTGTTGGCTTTAGAATCCTGAGCAGAATAGCTCTCCAGCCGTACCATGAATACACTGATGACCCATTCTCTAAGAACAACTTTGTGATGTGCAAAAGTTAGGGTAGGTCTGTAGAGATCTTGGAAATTGAGCCTGAGACCTGAAAGCTTATGGTAGGCTGCGGAGCCTGAGGATCATCGGAGTGGGATAAGGGAAGTGCCGATAGTCGTGGGCAAGGGAATCCGCAAAAAGTTGTGGAATATGTGACAGTGAGAATGCCCCTGAACGCAACGCTGTACAATGAAGGGGAGCGTGCGCCAGTGAAGGAGAGGGGGTGGGGTGAGAGGGTGTGCCAGCATCTAGACCCACGATTCGGTCTTTGGGTGCCTCCGGCAGCGGCAGCGAGGGTGTTGGCTTGCCTGCGGCTGGCTGGGGACCTCGGTGCCAGTGCGCGCGTGTGCGCAGGGCGGAGGCCCGGGGGCTCCTCCGCGGGTGGCGGTGCCTCGGCGCGGCGGGGTGTGTGAGCGCAGGGTCTGTGAGTGCTGGCACGAGCGGCGCGCACAGCCCAGGCGGCGGGCAGCCTGGGTTATCTGAGCAGCTCCGTCTTGGGTGGCTGCGCCCAGATCTCTGAGCGGCAGCGGCGAAGGCGAAACGCGCTGACAGACTTGGGAAGAAGAGAGAAGCCAGCCCCGGGCCCTGGTGGCTGAGGCGGGGAGCGGAGCATGGAACAGAGTCAGGCAGGTAAGAACCAGAGGAGCCCGTCAGTTCTGCGGGGAAGGGTGACGGTGAGGAGGGATGGGGGTGGCCGAGGCTAGCAAGATTCCCACTCCTTTCCCGGCTTGACCCAGATGGCAATAGTAAGGGCTGGGAACCGACGTTCTCTGGACTTTCCCCCTCCTGTTGGGCCTCCTGAGCCTTCCTTCCTGATGTCCTCCGAATCTTCTAATGAAAACTTTCCACCTAGAAAATGTGAGTTTTGTAACTTCTCTTGCTTCTTGGCAAAAACTTGGTGTATCTTTCTTTTGGGTGTCCAGGACTAGATCTTTCTGCTTTCTCTGCAGGCATTAAGTATTTTGCAAAACTTCCCCCAAGTTGGGAGTGTTGAGTAGGCCTTGGTTTCTAGTGGAGAGTGAGTGTGGGCGTGGACACCTAGTCTAGTGGGCAAGAAACACTGCCTAAGTCTGTGTGCACACATGTGTAAGAATCGTGTGTATTTGGTTATGAACACTAGTGTAAATGTGCCTAAGCTCTGCAGGGAGAAGGTCTTGTCCCCAAACTCAAGACTCTAAAGACAGGTTCAGGGAAGAGAAAGTGGCAAGGGACCAGCAGGCTCAGAAAGGGAGGAGAAACTGAAATCATCTACCCGAAAGGTGATGACTGTTCTCTATTATTTGCCTTTCTCCACCTCCCCTAGGCTTACCAGCTCACCTCTGACTGCTCCCATTAGGTATCCTGGTATATTGGGGGGGGGCAGGGATCAAATACCCAAGTTTAGTTCAGTAGTGGGAGAAAGGGAGATAACTGGATCAGGTTCCCAGAGTTTTCCAAATAATTCAATAGAGGTCAAGGTCTACCTCTGGCCTTTCTACCTCACTCCTCACCTTCCCCAAATCTCATTTCTCCCCCTCCCAACTCTCCCTGCTCAAGTTCCAATTCTTTCAGCTGAAAACCCAGCCTATCTCCACCTCCCAGCATGGCTTTTGCTCTAGTATCTTGGCTCAATTTCGGAGCTGTCTCCATTCTCCTCCAGGGTCTTGCCCCCACTGGGGAACCTAGGCCCCTAAGAGTGCCAACTGCCGCCTCCTTGGGCTTTTAGGGCTCTGGGCAGACCCTCCACACCAGAGGTTTAAGTAGGGAGATCAATAGCAAACAGTTGTAATGATCTAATTAATTATGGCAAAATTAAAAGCGAGTACAAAATCAATCTCTGATGGTGTTGAAGATGGAATTCAATTGAGAGCCCATCTGTGCACCCCCTCGACCGTATAAATATGCAGCCCAAGGACAGACCTAATGGCTGGGCCTTCCTGGGAACCTCTCTCCCCCTTTTTCTGTACAGAGCTTCTCTCTCACAGACTCTCTGAATCTATTTTGCCCTCTGATGCCTTCTACCCTCCACTCAGGCTCCCCCTTCCCCCCCCCCTTTACCCCAGCTCCTGAAACCACATTTCAGTTTTCTTACCATGCAGGCACCTCTTCCTGCCTTATGGGTCTGAGGTGCAATGCACTGGGTTGCCAGTCTCCCACAGCCCCATCCAAGCCTCCCCCTTAGCACCTCAGGAAGACTTGAAGCAGAGTAATGGGAAATCCCTATAAGTCTGTCAAGGTTCCTCATTCCGAGTTACTCCAGATGGGACCCTGGCACTTCCCACTTGGCCAGGGGTGCCTGCGCTTACCCGTGCCTGGAAGGGGTAGGCTAGCTGATCTTCGGGTGCATGGCACAGAAAGCCAGTAGAGCAGGCTGGTATTGAGCTCCAGTTCCTTTCTTTCCTTTCCTGGAGCAGGGCTCGCATGCCTTGGCTCGGGCCAGGAGAGAGAAGAGCTGTGGAGCTGAGCAGGAGGCAGAGGGAAAGAGCCTTTCCTTTCCAGGTGCCTCCACCAAGCCGGATCCCAAAGTCGTCTGCCTCCCCAGCTGCCTTTTCTCTTTTCTTCTCTTTTTATGTCCTCTCCTGCTGTCCTACCTTTATCTTTTCCATAACCACATCTGGCCCAGGGCACAACTCCCTGGGGACCCTGTGTTCCCCTGAAGACCCTGTCTTCCTTCTGGGCCCAATCCGGCTAGATCAAAATGATGTTGACAGCTAAATGCAATCCAGCGAGAGAGAGTGTACCTAGCAGACGTGCTGCCGCAACCAACCGCTGCAGCCGGGTTTGCGGAAAATGCGGGTTTTAGTTAGTTTCCCTGCGCCTGTTTCTGAGCAGCAAAAAAAAAAAAAAAAACTCCCGGAAAGGGCAAAGGAAGGTGTAAGGGGAAAGCATGAGCAACTAGGTCAATTGTGATTTTCAGTTATTGCAGTCCATACCTCCAGAACCATAAAAATAAGACGTTTGTTTCTGTGCTCTCTCTCTCCCTCCTCCCCGGCCTCTCTTTCCCTCCCACGGGCAGTTTTTGAGCTCCTTGCCAGTGACGCCTTGCCTCTCCCTCCTGGAAGCCTAGGCCCACTCTGAGCTCATCCTGAGTTCTCAGGTCTCTGTCTCTTTTTAGAGATCCCTCCCAGTGCCTGATACAACCACCAATTCCGCCGAGCCTGGGGGTGGGGTGGGGGGCGGTAGGAGTAGGGAATACAGCCTGATGCCTCCCGCCCCCTTTTGCTAGGCCTCCTCACCCCGTTATTAATTGCTGTGTTGACCTGCAGGATTGATTGGTGGCCCTGCTGGAAGAGACTGCCGAGGCCTTGGCCTCTGAGCAGCCTCAGCTGAGGGTAGTGGGAGGAGGGGGAAGCACTGGATGTGGGTCCTCTCAGCCCCTCCTGGAACACAACTCTTAGCTCAAACTCTCCACCACCCTTGGACGCAGTCTGCAGATACCCTTAGGATACTGGAACAAACACTCCCACAAGCTCCTCACCAACGCATGCTCTATATCCAAGGAGACATATCAAAATTTCTCAATTGATTTAGAAATTAAAAGGGTCTTCCCTCCCTTCATTAGTCAGTTTCTTCTAAGTATTTGTTAGCTAGGGGTCTAAACCCCATCACCTGAACTCCTGGACCTGGGATCCTCTCCTCTCTTTTACTTTACATCTTTTCTTTTCTAGGAACAGTAACAAAAAGTTGGGATTATCTTGGATGCAGGTGATCCTAAAAGCCTCAAACAAAATCATCCCCTCCCACCCCCCCACCCCCGCCCCACACCCCTCAAAGAGACCTTGCCCTGGTTTCTGGGCTATTCAGTTCGCGCCTTTTGTTTCAAACTCTGGCTCGAAGAGGGTGGAGGGCAGAGATGTACAGTTAATCCGGACAGGAGTCAAACGCTGCCCACTTCCTCCTCTCTGCTCCCCTCCCCCGGCCCAAACCGTGGTCTGCGCACACAGGCTGGCGCACACAGCCTCAGCAACACCCCCCGCCGCGACCGAGGCTACTGAAAAGTGGGCTGAATGCCCCCAGGTGTCCCGACGCTGGTCTGGGCGTCAGCGGTGAAGGCAGACGTCTACAAACCTTGGCAGGTCCCGAGAAGTCTCCTTCTCCTTTCCCGAGGCCGCTCTCCCTGTCCTGTCAGTCCCTTTCGCCCCGTGTCCCCTAACCCCCCCCTCCGCTCCGATCCTTTGTTTCCAGCCACCTCGCAGTCGGTCCCCCGCCTCGGTGGCCCCTGCCCTTCAGCCTCCCAGCCTCTCTGGCCGGTCTCGCGCTGCCTTACCCGGTCCGGGCTCTGGCGCGCTCTCCTCCTGCTCCTCACAAGCACACAGCTGCTGGGAGAGGAGGAAGGGAGGGCGGGCGCGCCGCGGATGGATCCGAGACAGTAGATTTGGTGTGTGCTCACAACTCCGGGGAAACTCAGCCCGGTGCTCCCGCCCCCTCCAACTTTTGCTGCGGAGCCACTCGTCCTCGCCCGCGTTGGGCCCTTCCTCTCCCCGTGTATTGGCTCTCCCCGGTTTCCAGCAGCTGGAGTTGTGAAGCCCTTTCCCAGCACTCATATCCCTTTCCACTGTTGCTGCCACCTGCCCCCGTCCTCCGCAGTCTCCGGGGCCTGGGGTCGCAGTGGCGGTGGCCAGTCGCACTGAGGATGTCCTGGGTCCTCCAGTAGCATCCCCCTCGATCACAAGTCACAGCCCGAGGAGCCCAAGTCCTCGGGCCGGCTGGGAAGAGGGTTAATCATTACTTCCATCGACAGTCAGCCTCACTTGGACTTTCTCACCTTGGCTTGGGAAGGAGGGGAGAGGGTAGTTGGCCAGGTGGAGACTTTGGCTTGAACCAAACCAGGCTCTTCCGGCCTTCCAGTGACAGGTTTCTTTCCAGTGCCTTCGCACCTCTTTCACGACCTCTCTGATCTTTCTTCCCTCCTCCCCCTCCTCCCCTTCTACCTCCTTTCTGAACCACCCCGTCTGAGCTGTAGCTTTGGCAAGTGGACTGTGGGTCCTGAGAGGGCCAATTCTCTTTGTTTGGAACAAGACTGGACGGAATTTCCTTCTCTGAGTCTCTGCCAGTGGGCGGGCTCCTCCCAACGTTTTTGGTGGACTGGCAGAAGGGGACCAGACTGGAGGCCACAATTAACCTGGCTGGCTGGTGTGTGTGTGTGTGTGTGTGTGTGTGTGTGTGTGTGTGTGTGTGTGTGTGTGCAGGAAATGGGACTGGAGGAGAAGGAAAAGGAATAGAGCAGAGTGAGAAACATGAATAGGATGTGGTATGGTCAAAAGCAAAGGGCTAAAAATCCTTGTATGGAGGAAAGCAAGAAGGAGCGAAGTGAGGAATCCCACAAAACCTTTGTAGAACAGAAGTTGGATGAAAAACATTACTTCCCTGCTCTGACTAAATGCCCCGATCCCTCCCTCCCCTCTTCATGGAAGGATAGGGGTTCAGAAACCTGGGCAGCTATGGATTCATCTACTATAGAAACGTTGATTTTTTCCAAATGGTTCTTGGTTGGTTCCAAGAAAGGACAAGTATAAGTATCCCCATTTTACAGGTGAAAAACCGAGGCTTTAAACAGAAACAAAGGGACTGTGTAGGCAGTGGCAACCGTGGAAGAGTCCTTTAGCTGAGTCAGGAGTACCAGGGTCTCTCTGCCCCTCCCCTCATCTTGT